CACACAGGAAGAAAGGGCATAGGGGCAAAAAGGGTCTCCTCCTCTCATGCCCCCCTCTTATCCAGGAGGGGAGCTTTCCGAGCAGACCATCCCCTTATATGCCACTGACCAAAATGAGGTCATACATCCACTCTTAGGCCACTCACTGGCAAAGGGGAAGGCCTTTTCATGAATGGCTTGGATCATCCCTGTTGCTGTGCATCTTGCTACTGAAATAAGGAAGGAGGGGTTGGCTGTGGGAAGGCAACCAATTGTGCCTGCCACACTCACCCTCTGTCTTTTCTCTAGATTGCCCTCCTGTCTCCTCCCCAGCCTCTGCCAGGAAGCTTTCCTTGATTTATACCTCTTTGTCCAGAACCCCCTTTTCTATCATGTAATGAAGCATTGCTCAATTCAAGTCACAGTCTCCTTTGACAAGGTCTCTCATCTTTTCCTGTCCAAATCTTATCTTCTCAGTCTGTCAGCATTGGAAGGCTAATAATACCTACTACTGAATAAGTATATATTATGTACCAGGCACTGTCCCAGGCACCTGTGGAGCTTCCAGAGGCTCCAATGATTCACATCTCCTGGTTATCACACCCTTCTGTATTCCCCTCCCATGTTTTTCCAAGGTTAGTCTGTATGGCAAATAGAATACAGCAAAAGTTATGGTATGCCACTTCACTTTCATCTGGACACATTCTCTTTCTTGGATCATTCATTCTAGGGGAGGTTAGCCACCATGTCACAAGCAGCCTAGGGAGAGGCTTGCATGAAAAGAAACTGACACCTTTGACCATGGTTTGAGAATAAGCTTGGAAAAGGGCCTTTCTGCCCCAGATGAGCCTTCTGATAACTGCAGCCCTGGCTGACACTTGACTGGAACCTCGTAAGAGACCCTGAGCCAGGATCTCCCAGGTAACCTGCTTCTGGCTTCTAGATCCTCAGAAACTGTGAGATAATAAAAACTTGCTGTTGTAAGCTGCTAAGTTTTGGGGTAATTTGTTACTCAGCAATAGTTAGCTACTTACCCCGGTGCCACATTATCACATTAAATCCTCATGGCACCCCAGAAAGGTAGAGTTTGTTTCTCCCATTTTTCAGATGAGAGAGCCAAGGCTGAGATGAGTGTAGTGACTCCCTACACCTGGAAAGTGGCCAAGCTGGGACTTGCCCTATGTCTATCGGATTCCAAAGCAGAGGAAACCTGGTTCTGTTTTTTCAGCTGGAATGTCTCCAGCTCCAGGGAGGAGGTTGAGGAATTGAGAACAGGAGGAGCTAGTCTCTTTGTCTGAGGCGTTTTCTCCTCCTTTTTTCATTTCAATCATGCTAGTTGGCAGCTACAACAGCTATTGCGTATATGTGACTCAGTGACAGAAGGTTTATGAGAAAAGCGCTAGAGTTTTTGAGTGACCTTAGACAACATCCTGTACTCTTTTAGGCCTCAGTGTCTTTATGTACTATATAAGATAATAACCCCTGTTCCACATTCCTCACCAGGAAACCATTAGCATCAGGTACAAAGGGACTTTGTCAAATGTCAAGTGTTGTGATCCTGGAAGGGTCTGTTTTGAGTAAGAAGCACCCCCCACCATGGTTCTCACACTCTGTAGGGAGGTAGCCTTGCACGGCCACCTTTGCACAAGTGGCCAATTCTCCCTCTCCTCCCCTACATGAGTCTTGGTCTCACCCGAGACGGAGAATACTGAGAGGAATTGAGGGCCCAACCCACTTCTTCAACCTCATCCCTCACCGCGACCTCCCTCTCAAGCCACACCGCAACCCTACTGAACTAGTGGAAGTTTCCCAAGCCTGCCAGGAGCTTTCTGCACGCTGAGCCTTTATCTGTGCAGTTTCTTCTCCCTGGACACCATTCTCAACTTGTCCACCCGGTGTGTTACTACTCATCTTTCAAGACTCAGATGTCCCCACTTCCAGGGTGCCACTCCTGACCCAGTCCACAGCCTGCTACTTCTCCTCTGGATTAGTGCGCCAGCTTCCTGCCTGAGCACTTGGCCTCCAGCTTCTCTTTTCCACTCAAAGCCCCATGGCGCAGTCTTTCTAAAACACAAATCTTGTCATGTCACTCCCTGCTTAAAATAACCAGCCAACGAATAATCCATCAATCAATGTTTTAAGAGCTCCTTCCTTGCTCTCAGGAAGACATCCTAAGCCTTCAGCTGGAACTCAAGGCTTACTCCCCACCGGTGTCTCCAAGCTCAGCTCCCTTCTCCTGATAGCCCGGCGCAGGCCATACGCCCCAGAGCACACCTCGCTCTCTCATGCCTTCCTATGTGCTGGCCCCGTTGTTTTCCATGCCCATTCCCATCTTCTCCACCTGGTGATGTCCTGCTTAAGCTCGAAGGCCAGCTCTGATTTAACCTCTACTGGGGAGCCTTCCCTGCTGGCCCCAGGAAAAGTTTGTGGCTTCTTCCTCTCCTATATGACTGCTCAAGCTTTTGTAACTGTTTGTCAGCTTGTCTGCTAATACCGAGAGTTTCCTGTGTCTGACACATGGTTGTGTCCCCTACAGGGTCAGCACAGGTGCTCGGAGCAGCCATGTAGGATTTGTTGGTTGAATGAATGAATAAATGAATGGTGAATGAATCCATCTGTGAGCCATCACTTCAGGCCAGTCTCACACTGCTGGTTTCCAGGGTAAGCCCATTTTATAGCAAGAGGGGAAGCAAAAGGAAGAAACTACCCTGGGAGGGAGAAGGGACATCAGTAAAAATGTAAATCTCGTTGAGAAAAGCTGTCCCAGGAAGACTGGAATGGGCTGAGCCCTGGCTGACAGTGGAAGAGAGGTTAGGGGACAAGCAGAGCGGCAGCCGGGACAGGGCAAAGGGAGCGTGTCTCCCCTCAGTGATAGTTCCTCCCTCTGTCTTCGCCACTTTCCCTGTCCCCATGCTCCACGCATTCCTTAAATTCTTTCAGGGATGGGAGGGGGGAGAAGGAAACTTAGAAATGTTGATCATCAGGGGCACTGCCTGGGAGTAAGTATGTTGTCATTATTTGGTCTTCACAGCTTTTGGGAGGCAAGAGATAGGAATGATCAACCTCACTTTCCAGGTGAAGAAACTGAGATGCAGAGAAGTTCAATCACTTGTTCAGGGTCACACCATGAGTAAGTGGCAGCGTCAAGATCTGAATTCAAATCTGACTGACCCTAAAACTCTGTTCTTTCCCCTCCCTCCACTGGAGTCTAGAGTCAGGCTCCAGATGGTCCCCAACCTCTGAAATCAGACGCACAATCGTATGGGTTTGTGTGCATTTTTTGTGAAGAGTCTATATCTTTTATCTTCTAAGGTGATTGTCACCCACTCCCCTGCCTATACCATGGAGCCTCCCTGGAGGTGGTGGCCTTTGAGCTATAGGAAGTTGGAATGCAAGTGGGTAGGATGACAAAGGCCAGCTGGGCAGAGAAGAGCACACGTAGGGGCACGTTAGGGGGAAGAATTGAACAGGTCTAAAGAATGCCGAGGGTGCTGTGCATTCTTGTTCCTCATTTATTTGTGCTCCAATCATGGCTTCTGGCTCCCAGCTCCTAAGAGGCATCTGCCTGCCCTGCAACTTGCCAGTGTGGGTCTCCTGGCCAAAGGCACTCCAGGGCAAGCATCAGGATATTCATTCTGATTGCAGTCCTGTCCTCTGCTGGATTCTATCACCGGTAGAATCTAGCAGGGAGATTTCGCACCTGATCTTCCCAGCTCCTGAGTACCGGGCGGGAAGACAGTGAACACACAGGTACAATTGCTTGTGGCTCCTCGTTGGCCAGAGGCCAATATTAGGGAGGAGGACTGCTTTCTGGGCCCTTCCACCCCTTCAGCCCTTACCTGCTCCACTCCTGGCTCTCAGCTCCATGTCTCTCTTGCCCTGGAGTCTCCTTGCCCTGACCAGCCTGAGAGGTTTAAAGTGCAAGGATCTCATCTTCTTCTTCAAATCTCAGCTCAACCCAGAGGTGGATTCAGCATGAAGCTAATGCTGCTTGAGCATCAGGGCCTCCGCATGTGTTTATGTTGCCATGTTCTTGTGAAATTTGCTAAGGTAATATGCTTTAACCATGTGCTGGTTCTTTCCACTCCAACTTCCCTTATGTCCCAGCTTCCCTTTATGTGAGATGGTTGGAGGGGCCACGGGCACATCTAGGATCTGGCTAAGGTGGGGTTGAGTTGAGGATCAATTTAATTTGGGTTCATTCAGATATATTTATGTGGTTCTCCGTCATCTCTGCATGTAGTTCGATCATTGTCAGCCACCTCCATGTACAGAGCAGCTTCTGGGACTCTTCCTACCTACCGTCCAACTCATTCAGAATTGTGACATCAAGGCGTCATACCCAGATGTCAACTCATGACATGAATGTGTTTTATGCCACCTGGCCCTGGAAGCGTACAGACAATGGAGGAGAAATGGGAGAAACAGGTTTGGAATGTACAGAAACAGAAGCTAGTCTGTGAGAAATCCTTCTCATTGTCTGGGGGGAAATGTATTTTAGAGGTGTGCATGACCGCTAGTAAAAAAATACTGTGATATTTTTCTAAATTGTGTGATGTAGTTGCTTTGACTACTTTTCTCATTCTAAGTAAATATTTACTTCCTTACCTCCTTTTGTGTTCTTTTTCTTGGAGGGCTCCCCAAATTGTATAAGCTTCAGTTCCCACAAAATCTGGATCTAACCGTAGTGACACCATTTATTTTCTACGTGATCTTAGGCAAGTTATTTATCCCATCTGAGCCGTCTCCTCTTCAGTGAAACATAAATGACAGTTTGGACAGGTGAGGACTCAGCCTCATTCACTTATTCCAGTTCTGAAACCATTACTAGAGGAAGTAGCTCAGCCGAATGAAAATTAGACCAGAATATACAGATAGGGGAAGATGTAATGGACGAGAAATAATGGCGAGCAATGAATCCAGTAAAACTTAAATCTAAATAATTGGAAATAATGCGGTTGTTGCAAATTCTAATGCAGTTTGTAAGAAAGGATTTTTGTAATAGGAGAGACATTATGCAATAACAAATTTAATAACAAGTTGTAGCTATAATTCCAGATTATTTCTGCAACATCTGGAAACAGGAGGGAAGGAGAAGGAATATAAACATACAAAAAGCTTCATCTTCTTGTGGACTTTGAAGTTCTTGGCATTGATAAATACAGGCTCAGATATTTGTTAAACATGGAAAGTTATCAAAAATAGTGGAATACAGCGGGAATGAGAACATCTGCAATTCCCTTTTCCTTCACGTGAGATAGCGTCAAAGCCTGCAGCTGGGAGCTGCTCGGAGGGCCATGGCCAGTTGTGCCCTCTATGCCCTCAGCTTCTCCCCGGCCGGTGGCACACAGCCGGACACGGGGCTTGGGGAGTGGCTGCTGACGGCTCCCTGTCTCCTGCCTCTGGAGCAGCAGGTCCCAGCTGGGTTGGAGAGGTGAGGGCAACAGAATGGGCTGGGAGCAGATCAGGGAGGTAACCAGGCCCGGCCATAAAGTCAGATGTGGCCTGACATGCACAGGCCGACCTTGTTTCAGACTTGAGCATTCCGCAGACTGACTCCTTAAACAGCTGGGTGGTACTGCTTCCAGCATTACCAGTCTGGGCAGGACAAAGGGTAGGTCCTTATGCCAACCCAGGCATCACAGAGAACCAGATGCTACCTCCAAAACGTGGGTATCACAGAACTAAAACACTATCTACATAGCCCCAGGCGACTCAGATTTAAGCACCCAGGAGGAAACTGAAATTAGGATTCTAGTTACAAAAGTCACAGTGACTTAGGTGGGGGTCATAGGCAAATGTGTGAAGTCTTGGCAATGCATAGAGTACCAGTGAGTGTGTGTTGGGTGTGTTTGCTCTTTGAAGTTGGAAAACGCTCAAGTGAGGTGCCTGGGTCCCCCGCTCCCCCGGAGTCCCTCACCCAGACTGTGGCTCCCCAAAGGCAAGGTCTGGGACTTCCTGAGTCCAGAAAGTGAGTCTCCCCGTGTGAAGTCCTCACACCAGATTTCCTAAAGGCCCCGCCCCGCCTGGATGTCCTGAGTGTGAGGCCACTTCCATCCCCAGTGGATCTCCCCTCACAGCTCAGGTGTCTGCCTCCAGGGGGCGCCAAATGGACACTTCTTAACAGAGGTTGTCCCAGCCCCACCTCCAGGCTGAGTGGGGCTGGGGAGAAGTGAGAACATCCTGACTACACAGTTGGTCACAGCTGGAAGAGGCCTGAAAGCTGGTTAACCCATTTCCGCCTGGCAGAGATGGTGGCTGAGGCTCAGAGAAGATGCCCCAGGCAAGTGGCAGAGCAGGGCTAGGATCTGGTATGCAGGGGAGCCTGGCTTACTGTCATCCACTTCTCTACCCTAAGGTCCCAGAGGGAAAGATATGCAGCCCCTCTGCCCTGGAAAGCCTGGTTTCAGGTCAGCCTCTCTGGCTGGGGAAGAAAGAGGGGAGACCCTCTTGCTTCAGAGGTGATCACACACAGCAAAGCTCCAAGTATCTCCTTGGTTCAGATGAGCAAACAGAGACCAGAGGGGGTCAGCAACTTGCCCCAAGTCACACAGCAAGTTAGTGGAGGAGTCAGAACTGAAAAACAAAGCTCCTGACCAACAATCTCAAAGCTAAGGTAGCTGCTGAGAGGTACTGGCTGTGGCCACCACTGTTGGCCAGGGCAGGGCCCTGGGGCAGCTCACACTCTGAATTCTTCAGGCTTCTTCTCTGGTCCCGACGCTAACAACTGCTGCTGTAGGTCATGGCATGCCACCACCTTCGTCCCCTCTTCTTTGTCCTGCTTCCTTAGGATAGCCAAAATCAAGGCGAAGCAAACCAGGGAGCCCGTCTTGAAAAAGAACTGGATTCCAATAAACCTGGGAAAAAGCAAGGGACCCTTTGGCTCAAGACCTGCCCATCTAGGGCTTGGCTGTCATTGGGCTAGGGGCAGAACGGGGTCAGCAATCACCACCCCTGGTAAAGTCGGGGATACTGAGGCCCTGAGGGGAGGAAAGGCCCCCAGCCCCAGCGCAGTGGACTCTGTGTCACCATAGCCTCGTTTGGGGAGCTGAGGGAGCCCCTGGAGTTGGAAGAGGGGGCTGCCCTGTGCAGTGGGAGCCCTGCGTGGGGAGCAGACGCCAGGGCGCCCTCCCCGCCCGTGCCTGACTGCCCTACGGCCTGGGCCAGCCCTGCCTCTGCCTAGGTCTCCCTAAGGGCTCAGGGGGCCTGACAATTGCAACTTTGGATTGTACTCCCTCTGCCAAAGGGAAAAGGGGATTCTTTCTCCCCTGTTTGTCTCGGAGATTTTCAACCAATGTACCACAAGAATTTTCAAAACAAGCAATACGTGACTATTTAGTCAGAGGCACTGACCTCTTTTTTCTTAGACTGTCAAAATAAAAAAAAAAAAGACAAAAGCCAACACAATAGCCATCCAATGTGAATGCATCACAGTTATTCCTTTTTTTTTTGGTCAGATTGGCAAAAAATACATATATTTTTTGGTGTTCTACAAAATTTTCATTAGTTTATGTGTGCCATGAGATGAAAAACGTTGAAAATTGCTGGCCTAACTCACCAAGCATCTTGTTTAGCTTTTTCTCCCCAGGACATCCCTGAACAGTCCTGGCGCACAGGAACCGTGCCGCCCTCAGAGCTGGATGTGACCGGCTCCATGCTTCCGACCCTGCTGGCAAGCACTCGCCCCCCCGCCCCAACCCCCAACCCATCCCAGGGCCAGCAGCCTCTCTGCCTGCAGGTTCCTTGGGCCTCCCCATTGTACAGGGGGGAAGATTGAATCCCAAAAAGGCAGGCCTTACAAAGAGGGAGGAAGAGCTGGGCCTAGATCCCAGGCCTCCAGTGTGATAGATAGGGCCTTCTCCCTACCCCACCCCAATTTCCTGCCTCTCTCTTTGCCCTACACTCAGCCATGATAATGCCTGTTCCTGCACAGACTGCTGTCAGACAGCTTGGGTTCAAGGCCCAGCTTCTCCAGTTATCAGCTGTGTCTTTGGGCCACATTAACTCTCACTTTTCTCTTCCATACGCTTAGCACTGGATATAGCACCTGTCACAAGCAGGACTTCCTTCCCAGCTGGTGTCCTGCCTGGGACCCCCCCCCCAGTACTTCCAGCACCCTTCCCACAGCCCCCTGGCAGGGCCCACCCCAGGTCTCACCGGTTTCGGAGCAGGTCATGGTCATAGTAGCGGCAGACGGCCCGACGGCCACAGCTCTGGGCCCAGTACACGCAGGTGGTGTCGATGGCACTGCCGTGGATCACGGGGCTGGGCATCCAGGCTGGAGGAGGAGAGGCTCAGCGTACAGTGGGTCTGGCACTCCCGCACCCACCGCCTTCCTCCCTGGCATACACAACCCCTCGGGGGCTCTGAGCCACTGGAGACCTATTGGTCCATATGCCTTTGGCCCTCAAGCCCAACCCGCACCCAGGTATCAGAGGCTGCCTCCCTGAGGGGCCATCTAGCTGCTTATACACCCGCCTCCAGGCACCTGAGTCGGATCTGCTTCCCTATGGGCTGGTGAACCCCAAGGTCAGGACCCGGGTCTCACTCATCCCTGTGCCCCCCACGCCCAGAACACAGTGGGTGTCTGGACCAGTGGTCCCAAGCAGCAGGTCCTTTACCCAGAACTCTCAGGAGCATGAACTGGATTCCCACAGCCAAAGTCTTGTCTTCCTTCTTCACTCCCCTAACAAGCAGGAACATGAGTGACATGAGGATCAAGAGGGCTCCAGCCCTCAAGGGCCTCTCACCATTCCCTTCCTGCCCTCACCCACCAGCCTTCCCCCACCTCAAGGGCCTTGGGTGGGATGGGGCCAGGGTCACAGGCTCCACACTCAACTTGCGATCAACCTGCAGAGCCCGGTCCCCTCGTACCAGGCACCACCACTGACCACCAGGGCCCTGTGCTGAGCTCCTTGTGTTCCTGGTCACAGATACCTCGCCTCTCTCTCCAGCCCCTGGCTCCGCCAACGTCTCCCCTCCCTCCTACACTTGACAAAACCCTGGAGCTGGACAGCCAGACGTGCCTTGTAACTTCCTCATCCACTGTCATGCCACAGCTCCGGGGGCCCTGGCAGTCACTGGCGCCTCTCCTAGGCCAGACTGGCGGCTGGCAGTTATGGAGCACGGACGACGGGCTCAGTCATTCTCGCTGCCACCCCCCTCACTCCCGTGAAGTAGGTATATCATTAGCCCCATTTTACCAATTAGGAGACTGACAGATTCTTGGACAGGTTAAGTGACTTGGCCAAGATCCCAAGGCTGATGGGTGTCAGGAGTTAGAATTTGTGCAGCATTATTGCCTGCCTTCGCTCCTCTTAAGCAGGCTGCCTGCTGGGGCATCTGCTCACTCTACCTTCTCTCTTGCAGCCAGGCTATTTTATGGATCTACTTGTCTTCTAGTATTTGTGAGGGGCTCCATCCCCATTCTAATTTTCTAGAAAACAGGGAATAAAATAATCCCAGAATAATGAAAAAGTGGAATTATCCCTTCAAGAAGGTCCCCTTATTCAGCCCCTACCCTGAGAGCTGCTGACTTGGCCTCAGATGACAATTTGTCAGTCCCAGCAGACACCCTCAGGACAATAGCCAGAAAGATCTTGGCTATGGCTCTGCCAAGGTTCCTTGGCTATTGCTCAGCCAAGAGGCAGTGTGCAGCATGGGCTGGGCCCACAGTGGGCACTTAGTAAGTGCTCGTGGATTTGAAGTGGCATTCATACCGTGGACCACACTGATAGGATTTGGTTCTCTGGAAGAACCTCTGTGGCCTGCCCTTGGCAGATAGGGTAGGGGCTGGGAGTCAGGTGACCCTGTGTTTGGGAGGCCTTAAGTGTGACCTCCCCTCCCCTGGAGCCAGTAAGGGCCTGGGCTCTGGCTCTAGCACCAGTACTATTCCACTTGCTACCCAGCACCTGCTACGTGGCCTGGGGCTAGCTCCTGAATTGCTCTGAGCCTCAGTTTCCTTATCTGCAAGATGGGAAGAAAACTCCATCTCAGCAGCTGGCCATGAGGTGGCAGACAGAACACTGGGAGCCGGGCCTGTGGTGGGAGCCCACCCATAACCCTCCTTCTTCAACGCCCTCCCTCAGGATTCCTTGTCCTGCCTGTGGTTGAGGACCTCTCGGTATCCGCCAGCTCTGGTCCGCCCCTGCTCTCACCTTAGGATGAGCATGAAGGAGGGTGTGTGGGTGACACAGGCCATGGCTGCGCTCAGGCCAATCAGGACCATGAACGGCAGCACCAGGTGGCTGCAGGCTGATTCGCAGGAGCCCGCTGACACAGTGTTGCCCCTCATCACGCAGCTGCAGTTGGTATACAAAACCTGGGGGAGGGAAGAGGGGAAAAGAGCTTTCAGGAACCTCCAGGGGCAAGCAGCTGGCCAAGGGCATGACGCCCCAGGAGGCTTGTGAGAAACCCAAGGGCACAAACCGGCTGAGTCAGAGCTGACAGGGGCTGGGATTTCTGACCCGCTGGCTGAGTCAGGATGGCTTGAGCAGCCAGGCAGCTACCTGGACTCAGGCTGTCTGCCCACAAATGGGCTGAGCCTGCGCTGAGGCTGCTGGGAGAGAGGGAAGTGGAAAGGAGAAAAGGGAGAGGGGCCTAGAAGGGCATCATCCCCAACACAGCACACATATGTACTCACACACACACACACTTACAAAGACAGTCACACACACCATACATACACCACACACATTCGCACACATATGCCACATGCACATTCACACACCATAAACACACATACACATACCATACAGAGCGAGGCAAAAGTAGGTTTACAGTTCGTATGGGTACAATAATTGATAAAAATATAAGAATAGACTCTGTGCTTTGTATACTCACAACTATATACCTACTTTTGCCCTACCCTGTCTATACACGTACACACTAACCCACAAACACCACACGTACACCACTCACACATACACATTCACACACGTCACACACCATGACACATACACTGCGCACACACCACATACACACACCACACACAAACTCATTCTTTTACCTGGTGATGTCAGATGTTTCAAATTCCTGACCATATGTACAAGGAATCAAAGAAAAAAAGAGTTTTGGGGAAGGAACTCAGATTTTCCGGCTGTGTTCCCCGCGTGCCGCTTCGCCGCCGGGTTCCACAGTGGACCCCCAGGGAGAGGCTGAAGCCCAGGACAGAGGGACGCCTGCGCTGCGGCAGCCCCGGTTCAGCAGGTGAGAGGCAGGGGAGGCTTTACCGAAGAGGGGTGTTGGATTTGGGTCTCGAGGAAGGAAGAAAGGTTTACCGAGAGGAAGAGAGAATGAGTGGAAAAATCACAGTGGAACAAAGACCCAGCCACTCTTTCCTTCTGCCTGGGGCTGGGAGTGTGTGCAGCAGAGGACAGCGGGGAAGGGCTCGAGGGCGCGCCGGGGTGACATCGTGAAGAGGAACCTGGACTGCTGTTGCCAGAGACACAGTGGACCAGGTGCCCTGCCAATTATCTTGCTGGCAACAACTTAAAATACTGGATGAGACATTGGACGTATGGTCCTGAATGCACCCACAAGCGGGCAGAAAGTAAAAAATATTGAGCACTCAGGCCAGAACACAGAAAGACAAGCAGAGTCCTGAAACTAGCTTGGCCCCAGAACCTTGTGCAATGGGGTATAGCTCTCTGAGGTTTGGGGGCTACAGGGCCAGAGGACGAGTCGCAGCCTCCCTCCCTGCCAGGATGAAAAATCTAATAGGAGGCCCCCAGAAAACTGAGACCCCTTGACAGGCTGAAGTATGAATAAAAACTGACCTTTCTAAACTGCCAGGGAAGGCCCCAGGCTGGCTAAGGGTGTGTTTGATTGCATTCCCGCCCTCTAGGTGGCCTGGGAAACCTCCAGCCGAAGATTCTTGCTGAAGTGGTTTAGACTGACAGTGCCCTCAGGTGCCCGAGAAAAGCAAAACCGAGCCAGGAAGCCCGGCTTTTTCTTTTTTCTTTTCTTTTTTTTAAAGATTTTATTTACTTATTTTCACAGAGGGGAAGGGAGGGAGAAAGAGAGGAACAGGAACATCAATGTGTGGTTGCCTCTCGCATGCCACCAACTGGGGACCTGGCCAGCAACGCAGGCATGTGCCCCAACTGGGAATCGAAACAGTGACCCTTTGATTCTCAGGCCAGCACTCAATCCACTGAGCCACACCAGCCAGGGTAGGTTTTTCTTTTGGTCCCCCTGTATCAGACTTTCCTGACCAGTGGGCCCCAGACCAGTGTGCCTAGGACCCTGGGGCTTCAGCGGGGAGTCAGATGTGCAGGGATGGGTCCCAATGTGGCCTGGCTGGCTGGCCCGGGGCAGCTGGGACCCTCTGGGCCCCCCACCTTCAGCCCTGGCAGCCTCAGACACTTCCCAAGGTGAAAAGGGTCGGGGAGCCCGGAGTTGGATTGCTGGGAGCCTGGGAAAGACTCTAAGCATGGGAGCGGGAAGACCTAATAGCACAAAAGCTGCCTTGGCAGCTGCAATGGGGGGCAGGATGGAGGAAAGCGTATTGATTCGAGAGAGAGAAAGAGGACACCTAGGATTCAGGCTTGGGTGAGTGGGTGCTCTTTCCCATCCTTCCCAACTGCTCTGCAGAGCTCCCGTGTGTGACAAGGCTGTGGTACCACACGTGTGACCTCCTGAGCACACACCATTCGGACCTTCACCTTCAGGCTGAGCCGCTCCCTGGGTTGCAGGTACAACAGAGGAACAGAAGGTGGAGAAATAAACCCAGACAAGGTTGCTGGAAGAGAAATGCCCTGCCTGTTCCTTTTCTGAGAGGCTGGGATGGACACAAAAGCTGAACCTTTCTCAGAGGGACTTTTCCAGCTCTGATTCTATGGCAGAAAGTCCTTCTTGTAAATAATTTCAATCTCTCCATCTGCTTCCGCTTCAGCCCTATCCCCTGAGCCCTAGATCTGCCAGTCACCCACCCACCTTTTCCCATCTTTCCCCTGGTTACTTACTCATTCATAAAAGGTTACTTAGCACAGCTGGGCTGGACACAGACCAATTAATCCCTGGGTCCCAGAGCTCACAGTCGGCCAAGGAGACAGGCTCACCAAGAGACAATTCCAGGCCAGGGTGACAAGTCCTGAGTGCTGCCCTGGGCTTGGCTGCGCTCTCCTCCAAGTACTATACCAAAAAAACACCAACTCTGAGGATGCTCCGGGAAGGGGGCTGGGCTAGGAGGTCGGAGCCCTGACTTCTCGTCCCAGCTCTGGCATTAAAACTTTGGGCAATGCCTGGCACTTTCCTGGGCCTCCATTTCCCATCTGTATAATGGGCATAAACAGGAGTGGCCATTACTGAGTGCTTAACATTCCCCAGGCACTAAGTGTTTTTCATGGATTAGTTCATGTGGCTCTTCACTACGTATTTAATGAAGTCGTCTGGGGAAAGCATTTAGCAGGCACTCACTCCTATCACCTCCATTTTACAGACCAGGAAACGGAGGCACAGGTTAATTTGCCTAAGGGGGGCAGAGTCAGTCAGAGGCAGAACAGGGATTTGAACCATGTGGCCTGGCCTCAGTGCCAAGGAGCCCATATTCACAGGACTGTTTCCTTGGGGATTCTGCCCCAGACACTAGGGCCTGGAGGCTTCTGGTATGGGCTCAGGGAGGTCAAACCAGGTCAGGACAGTGAGTGATAGGAGGCTCCAAAGGCTGGGTTGCAATTATTCTAAACATAAACAGTTTACACAGCCCAGATGCCGCCTGGCTGACTTCTGAAGCACAATCAGCCAAGTGCTTCGCTCTGCAGCAGCCAGTGGGGACCAGGTCTCCCCCTGGAAGAGCTGCAGGCTTAGATGCTGAAGCCAAGTAGGACACAACAGCAGGTGGGCAACTCTGGAGAGAGGGAGGTGTTGTCATAACAACAAGCCTGACACTGCAACCTGTCACACACATACTTTACAACCTGGGGGCTGGATATCGTCCCCATTTGTCATTGGGTGGAACTAAGGAGAAAGGAGAGGAGGAGCCCGCTGGTCTCGGCCGCCCTTCTAGGTTCACCAGAAGGCAGGACTGCTGGCGATGCCGCCCCTTTCCCACCCTGAGAGTGCCGCGTGGGCAGGGCCCCTGGGCTCTGGGCCCCGGGCGCAGAGGATGGCTGGCTGCTTGGGCTCACTGTGCAGCTGCACCTCTGGCCTCCCTGTCTTCTAGCCTGCACTCTGCTCGCCTTGCACCACACCATGGCCTCAGCGATCAGCCAGGTGTGACTCTGTCTCTGTCACCTCCCTGCCTAAAACTCATCCAAGCCTCTCCCTGCCGGCTGCATAAAGCTCCCCCTCGTGGCCTCGCACTCCAGGCCCTTCTTGGTCTGGGCCTTGCTTTCCCTCCATGAACCTGAGCTTCGTCTCCAGCCAGTTCTTTGCAGTTTCATGAAACACTGTATTTGTGTGTGTGTGTGTGCGCATGCGCGCGCACACCACATGAATGCGCTTGCTTCCAGACTCTGCTTCTGCTCCTCCCCGTGCCTGGAAAGCCCTTCCCTAGTTTGCCTACTCACCTTTGAAGCCTCTGGGGCCCTCCCAGGTGGGCTGTACCTCCTTCCACCTTTGTCTGTATTTGTGGGGACCACTTCTCCTGCCTAGGAGCTCCCCTGGAAATCCTGAGCTCCTTCCCTTTACATCTCTCCTGCATAGACAGCTAGGGCCAGATCTGGTTCACCTCTGTGTTCTGGGCACTGGCACGTGGCTGGGCCCAAGCTGGCAATGAAAGCTCGTTGAGAGAATGACACTCTGCATCTGCCAACAGGAGGAGACAGAGAGCCAGAGAGCGCGAATGTTCCGCGTTGGAGAGCGTGACAGGCACACGGTGACAGGGAAGGGCAGGGCCTGTGACAGGCAGAGGGAGCATCCAGAGGCCTGACCCACCTGGCTTTTGCCCGGAGCCTCCTGGACCACCCGGCTGGTGCAGCCTGCGTGGCATGGTGTGAGGTACTCTACACGGGCGCTGGGGTCGCAGAGGGGGTTAAAGTCATCTGATGGGCAGTTGCAGCGCTCCATGCAGTCCGGAAGGAGCTCCAGCTCCGGCTGCGCACTGGGGGAAGAGAAGCCCAGAAGGGTTGGCCTGGCTCTCCCTCCCTCAGGCCACCAGCCAGACGCACCCCAGCCGTCAGCCTGGCTCCCCACCGGAGAGAGCAGCGGCCAGCGATTTCCACCCCAAACAGGTTTTTCACTGTCTGGGCTGCTCCATGACATGAAGGGGGTGAGCCCCTTGCAAGGGAGGTGCGCAAGCAGGAAGGTGGGCTGGGAGCTCCAGGGGACCTCCCTCCCGATGGGAGAGGTGGGGCGTGGAGTCTGGACAGGGGCCTCTGAGACCTCTTGGGCTCCACGAGCCTGTGAGTGTTTGAACTGCCTCTGTGACCATCTCTGCTCCTCGGTGGCCCTTCTTGAAGAAACACGAGATAAATTCCTCCCAGAAACTAGTCTCACATGAAAAGTGCCTGTTTTCTCCATATAGCTGGGTGACTTCTTTTTCTTGGGAAATTTGAGCTACGTGTGCGGAACTCAGGATGCCTGACTAGCTGTGGGATCTCTGACTGGCTCCTGCCTCTCTCTGGGTCTCAGTTTCTCTGCCACCTCAGCTGGGGACCCCGTCCCACCAGCCTCTTTCAGTCTCGTGGCCTCTCGCTCACTCTCACTACCCCGCTCGCTGTGTCTAGGGCGTGCTTTTGTCCTGCCTGCCTTCCTTCTGAGAGTCTGCCCCCCACATCCCGGGAGAGCCCCCACTCCAGTCAGCTAGGACAAGCGGGGACAGGAGATCGGAAGAGAGGCTGAGCCCCAGGGGCAGGTCACCCTGGGAGGGGGCAGAGGTGCCCTGGGACTCAGAGTGTGACCTGGCTTCACAGCTGGAAGGGAGGAAACCTGCCAAGGAGCCATTGGCCCAGCTGCAGGGAAGGAGGCCAGAGGGGGCGGCTGGAGCCGCTACGGGCTTGGGATGGGTGCAGGCAGGGGTCCCGCAGAGTGGCAGCCCTGGCCAGCTCAGAGAAATCAGTCCCTTGGAGAGGAGACTTAGCAGGGGCTAGGGAGGCGGCTGGGACAACAGTTGAAACGGCCTGTAGCCTGAGCTGGGGCTGGGGCGGTGGAACACAGGTGAGCTTGCTCCCTCCCTGAGGCGGGGTGTCCATCTGAGCGGGGAGGGAGACCATGGGCCAGCGCAGTCCCCACCTCCCTTCGCCCTGCCAGGCAGTGTGTCTGACACTGTGTCCCACAGGAGGGAGAAGAGGCTGGCACTGTCTGAGCTGAGGGCCCATCAGGAGGCGGCACCGGGGACCTCTGCGCAGGGTGAGGCACTTCTCAGAGCCCACCTGCCTGCAGCTGGAAGGCTGAGTGGGCGAGCGCTGGGGCTCTTCCTTGAGCCCTTGCTCCTGCAGGAAGAGCCCTGGCTCCAGGCAACGCTGGCTGTGTGACGTCGCCTTCCTGAGCCACGCTGTCCTCATCCGTGAAATGGGGATGAGGGCAGGACCCATCTCAGAGATCCTGAGAGGGTCCAATGAGGAATACGAGAAGGGCTGGGTGGGGCACGGGCAAGGGGCAGACCTCTGTTCTCGGCCGCTGTCGCTGTCGGTATTGGTATTATTAGCTGGGGCAGAGTATGAGAGGTTCTGCTCAGTTTGTTCAGTTGGTCCTGAAAAGCTTCTTCAATGCATTGGAACCAAAGTTTAGTGAGTAGACTGCAAGAATACAGATGAGAACACAGGTGAAACGAGATCTCAGAGTCAAGGTGAGAAGGGAGAAGAAAAGAGAAATAGGGCATGTAGTGCATAGGCTGACTTTTTAAAAAATTGTGGCAACATAGCCATTTACTTTTTTATTCCAAAAATCAACTTAAGGCCCTGGCTTCATCCTCAGACCTAGGGCCTGGCTGAAGCCTAGAACAGAGCTCTGCACACAGGAGGCCCTGCCCTGGCCAGCAGAGGTGCCTCACTGTTTGGGAAAAGGAGAAGGAAAGGAAGGAGGAAGGGGGAAAGGAGATGGGGAGAGGTCCCTGAGGTGGGACCTGGGACAGAGAGGGCCAGAGCTGGGCATTTCTGGAGCCTGAGCCAAGCCCCCACCCCCACCCCTGTCACACAGGAGGAGCCCCAGGTGCAGAAAGCTGGCACCTGAGATGCCCGGGGAGAGGCAGGAACACAGAAAGTTGGGGAATTCTAGCTGAGTGCTGGGCCAGCTTAAGCCTGGAGCAGTTCCCAGGAAAAATGAAATCATTCTAGAAAAGAGGCCTCAGCGTAACTTCCCACGTCCTTTCCAAGATGCTCCCAAGGGGAAAAGGTATGTGTGGGGGTGGGGGGCGTGGGAGGCGGCACCAGAGGCTTTTCTCCTGAGGGTGGAGGCAGGTGCTGCCCCACATAGGTGGAAAAATAATTCTGGAATCTTAGGGCTAGGGAACAACAGAATTTAGCTCCCAGGCTCTACACACCAAGAATCTCCGAGGTGTCCAGGCCAATCCCCCCCCAGAGCACAAGTCCCTGAGGAGGGCCTCCCAGTCCCTGCTTGCCCCCCAGGGATGGAGAGCCTGCTCCCTCCTGGGTGGGCCCTCCCCCGGCCTTCCTTAGGCTGAGCGGGGCCTCCCCCTGTGCAGCGCCCACCTCCACCGCACACGGGGCTCACTCGCTCTGGAGATGCCATGCCCGCAAGTGGCTTCACCCTGACCGAGCCTCCATCCCTCCCCAAGCCTGAGCTGTCCTGAAGTTCCTTCCATCCCTGCCCCTTCCCATGCTGCCTGACATCTTCACTGGAGAGCCAAGTCCCACTGCCCACAATGGGGAGGCGAGGAGACAGGGGAGGGGCAGGGGAGGTTTAAGGTACCCCGCTGACCTGGCCTTGTCTGGGCCGCCCCCTTCCTTGTCCCACCCTCTTCCATGCTTTTGCTCACATGCTCTCGAGCATACTCACCCAGGCTGGTGGATGATGCCTGCGATCTGGTGGGTAGGGCAGCCCATGAAGAAGAGGGGCAGGCTGAGAAACAGGCAGGACAGCGCCCCCAGCAGGCAAAGGACGCTGCAGCGCATGGGGCCCAGGTGGAGGCGCTTGACCAGGATGCCCCCGACTACGATGCCCATAATGGCCGAGGGGAAGGAGAGGCAGCCAATGAGTACGTTGGCGTAGGACGCTGTGATGGAAAACTGGCGCTCCAGGAACTTGGGCAGGAAGGTGGCCATGCCCGCCGCCATGGATGACAAGCAAACCTGGGACAGGACCACCAGCAGGAAGATGGGGTGGCGCAGGGTTCGCAGCAGCACGCTGGGGAAGACTGGGGGGGTAAATGGGGAGAAGGGCAGAGTGGGCAGCCACGTCATTCACGTCGGCTCCATCGTGCCCTGTGCAGTTTAAACTGTTCCATTCCTTCCATCCCATCTCATTCTGTTACATTCAATTCTATCTTATTACATCTGACTTCTTTCCATTGAATTCTATTTTATTTTTGAAATTCTGTTTCATTCTATTCCATTGAGTTAGATTGCATTTTATTCAGCTGTGTTTCTTTCCCTTCAATTCTGTTCAAAGTTCTGTTCCATATACTTCTATCCCATACCATCCTCTCCGATTCTATTAGATTCGTGCCATCCTATCTCATTTTGTGTCTTCTGTTCTACTTATTCATCTCTTCTTTTTTTTCCACTTGGCCTTTCCCGTCCTGTCCTGCTAGAGCTCTTTCCAAGCAGCCCTGCCTTTGTCTTCCCTTCTGTGTCCCCAACACGGGGCAACACCCCCTCCCCTGCTCTCCCCATCCTTAGTTCATGGTTCTCCATAGCACTTTGCCTAACATACTACACATGTGGCCATTTTTTGCCCCCCCACCACAACACCAGCTTCACTGAGAGCAGGGATTTTGTCTGTTGTGTTACTTGCTGGATTTCCAGAGCCTGGGGCACAGTAAACACTCAACAAAAATCTATGGAATGAATGAGGGACTGAATGAACGGACATACAGACTAATGTGTGATCAAATACCAAAATGCCGAGGCACAATCTAAGACCTCCAGATAAGGCAAAACCTGAGCAGGCTGGGTGCCGGGCGGCCTCAGAGGCAGGCAGAGGTGGGGTCTGAGGAATGGGAAGGCCTGCCGAGGCTGAGCTGATCGGGAAGGAAAGGAATTCCTAATGGGGCCCAGGAGGCGCAAATGCATGGAGAGGAGGGTAGGAGTGATGACCTCGCCAGTCTCTTTCTGGCTCCTAAACCTGAGCAAGTCTGCTAAACTCAAGGGCGCATAACGCTGGGTAAGCCCCACACTCTGGGCTTCCGGGCCTTCATCAGCTGGGGCAGCCAAGGTAAGAGCCAGGAATGCTTCTGTTCTGACATCTGTGATGCTCTCCACCAGCAACAAAAGAGAAAGATGTGAGGGGGAAGTGACACAGAAGGCGCGTAGGAGAGGGGAGGACGGACCTTTCTAAGAAGGGGCATCAGAGGAGACAGCCGCTTGCCGGGCTGGGCTGGTCAGGGAAAATGGCTGCGGGCCTTCTCTGGGCCGAGTTCCCTTCTGCTCCTGCAGCAGCAGGGCCAGGGCCTCTGTTTTGAGAGATTTCTGCCTGTCCTCAGAGCACGGCAGGAGCCAAGCCAGCTGATTCCTTAGCAGGGGGTGAGGGGCGTGGGCGGAGCTGCTTTCTTGGGACAAACAGTCCCAGCAGGGTAGGTGGAAGCGGGGGCTGTGGAATTCCCCTTCCCTCCTGTCCCAGGCCTGCCCCCTCTCCCTAGCCTCTTGTCACATGCACAGCGCATTCAGCCAGGATTTGAAGCAGGGAAGTGTGACACCAGGCCTTCCCCCCAGGAACTGCTCCGGTCTCCCTCCCTCATCCCACGAGCTGCGGTATCCAAGACTGACCTGGGTGTGGCCCAAGCTGCACAGATGCCCTCATTGTACCGGTGGCAGGGACTCACCCAAGTTCACGTGGAGAGGCTGGGGCAAGGTGAGAAGTTTCCAGAGGTTTCCTGACTCTTGTTATAAAGGCCATTCCCCCTCCTAAACTCACACCCCACATTCCCGGGCCTCTGGCTGCCTGACTCCAGCTATTAATTGTTTCCATCCTATTTTCCTGTGCCAATCCCTGCAGTGCAATTTGTACCCATTCTTTATCTCCAGCGCCTGCAGCCTGTCCCTAGAACAGATGGAAAACTCGTGGAGGGCAGGGCTGTGCCTTTCACTTATATAGAGGTACCTGAAGGGAAACTTCAGGGTCCATCTCTCGTTCGGAAGTGTGTCTTCTCCAGTAGACAGGGGCTTCTCTTAGCTTAGCACGACGACTCCCCATCAGACAAGCCCGGGCCTCTCTCAACTCAGAGACTATGTCTCCCCCTCAGACAGGGGCCTCCTCCAGCACAGAGGCCAGGCCTCGTCCGCTAGACAAGGCAGGTTCTCCCTCCATTCAGGGACTATGTGCCTTCCACTAGACAGAGACCTACCCCCAGCATAGACACTTGTCTCTCCCCTCAGCCAGAGCCTCGTCCAGCTCAGGGACTCTGTCTGCCCTGTCAGGCAAGAGCCTTCCTTAGTTCAGGGACTGTCTTCCCCCAGTGGTTTACGGCTCCTCCAGCTGAAGGACCACGGTTCCAGTGGTCAAGACCAAGCCTCGGGATCAGACCGGTCCTTCTGGAGCACAGCAGAAAGCTCAGCAGTGAGGTTGGCTGACTCTGGCCACAGGGTTTGTGGCCAGCCCTGCCTCAGTTTTCTCTAGGCTCATGAAGAAACTGAAACTACCAGAGACCGGCTGGCCCAGGACACCCACTCCAGGATTCAGTTTCAACAACTGGTTCCAGCTTCCCTCTGGGCAGGCACCAAAGCAATGATTAATCAGCTCTTCCGTGGAGCCACATACCAGTGCCCTCCAGCGGCAGAGGGGGGTCAAGGAGTCCAACCCCCACCTCCAGGCTTAGCTCTGTGGGTGTTCCACCCCTTCCTTCCCTGGGGATGCTAGAGAACTGGGAGCTAGGTTACTGGTGCCCCAACATTATATCTTAGGCAATGCTTCCCAAGAACTGGGCTTAATTGATTAACTTCCTGTTGACAAACCCTGCGGTTATCACCCTCTTAAACCACAGGCAGTTCAGCTCACTGTCCCAGGGTACAGTCAGAATAACAATAGTACGGCAGGAGTGATAACTGAAGTAATTATACCTCATGTAAGTACAAATTTTTAAAGTAATATACAGAGGGCTTTCCATTCACCATCCCATTTGATTTTTCCAATAGTCCTTGAGAGGGGCAGATCAAAGATTATAGACTCAGTCTTTCAGGTGAGGAAACTCAGGTTAGGGGATGAAAGAAACTTCCGTAAGGTTATACACTTGTCAGTATTGGGAGCGGGCCTCTAACCCAGGTCTCTGCCTTGTTGTCCAGGGCTGTATAAGAGCCTGGCTCATAAGCAGGCAACCAATGGTCATGGAATCAGAATCTTTGGAAAGGATGGCCTGGTCACAACACAGACCCTGGTTACTGATCAATTGAGTTCATAATCTCAGGATCAGAATGACATAGATCTTTGATCATCGAGTCTACCCTGCATTGCCCAGATGGAGAAAACAAAACCCAGAGAAAAGCAATCACCCAGGTCAAAAGTTCAGGTTTCTGCACTTTAGCCCAGAGCTCCCTCTACACATACTACAGCTTAGAAATTTAATAAATATTTACTGAGAGCCTTCTGTCTGCAGGCTCACTGGTAGCTGGGAGAAGGGTCCCAGATGAGCCAGAATAGGCCCTGGCCTTAAGGAGTTCCCTGCTTGCGAGGACTGGACAAGTATGCAGCACAGATCTCAGCTGATCTAGCAGCCCTAAGCATTCAGAGAGCTGAGAGGAGGGAGAACCAGGCTAGGTGGGCAAAGGAGAGAAGTAGCTCTTGATCTTGACCTAGCGGGACAAGGAAGATTTCTTTTTTTAATCCTCACCTGAGGATATGTTTATTGATTTTAGAGAGAGGAAGGAGGGGGAGAGAGAGAGAGAGAGGAACATCCCTTGGTTGCCTTCCATATGTGCCCTGACCAGGGATCAAGCCTGCAACCTAGGTTATGAGCCTTTACTGGGAGAAACTATAATCCTTTGGTGTACGAGATGATGCTCCAACTAGATGAGCCACCTGGCCAGGGTGACAAGGAAGATTTTGATGGATAGCAATAAGAAATGATATTCCAGGCAGAGGGGTCATATGAGCAAAGACTCACAAGGAGTCTATGGTGCTCATAAAGGACTTAGAGGTACGGAAGATGAATCAAGGAAGGTAGGGATGGGCTAGATCCTGTACAGTCTCATTTGCCCTCTACCTCCACTTCCCTGTAGTCTGGCCTCAGCTCACCTACCTTTGATGAACTGGATCACGGTCAGGTCTGGCGCAATCTGTGCTAGGCCTTCCTTCTTCTTTGAGGACTCTGGGCTCTGCTCTGGGGAGGAGTCTTCACTCTGGGAAGACACAACCAAGGACAGTCAGCTGGATGAAAAGTTCCGCTCAGGGATGTCTGTGGACTGGGGAAAGGAACCCTGGGAGAGGAGAGGCTGGGGGTCTGTCACCTCCTCAGGGGCAATAGGGGTCAGCAGTGTTCCATTTGTTCATGGCCTGAAGGTACTTAACAAGTGGACTTCCTTTTTTAAGAAAACAGATTGTATTGCCCAGCAATTAAAAGTATTCAAACACATATTTTCTACATAATTTATTGCAAGGTGATTAATGTTAAATAAAATATTAATTTTCATCATTTGCTTCAGTTCATATCTTCTTGATCAATTCTTTGTTTTTCCTTCTAAAATGTTGCATGCCACACCTCTCAGGAGATGAAGAATCTTTAAACACCACAGCTAAGAACTTGAACATTCATTCATCTGCTGTTATCTTTATGCTTCTTACATGCAATTGTGTCCCTAGTGGTTTAGTTATCCCCTAGGATAAGTTTTTGGAAAACATTCATCATGACAACAGTTTTGAAAGAATGGATAAAATTCCAGTGGTTCAATTTTGTCCTCACCACCATTAATGTCATACAATCACCAGCATTATCATGAAAATTGCCACCGTAACTATCATCATCGTCATTATTCCCATCACCTTCAATATCACCCCATTCACATCACCAATATCATCATGAATAAATGACCAATATTGTCCTTACTATTATCATTGTGTCTGTCATAGTTACCCACTACCAGCATAATCATTATGATTGTCATTGTCACCTGACAATTCAGAACCACTGATACTATTATAACTATAAGAATCACCAGCATCATTGTCACTGCCCCTAACATCATCATCATTCCCGCCACTGTCTTTTTATCTTCAGCATCACCAGCCTCCATCGGAGGTTAATGCCACTTCGCTATCTTCAGTTACTGTCACTCATGGCTATCGTCACTTGGAGTCACCATAAGTAAGAGCCTCCAATGAGCTATGCCTTCCTAGAGGTTGGGGTGGTTTGAGCCTACAGGCGTATCTGTTCTCTACTGTCTGCTATGACAGGAAGAGAACTGTGTTGGCGGAGGCGAGGCAACCGCCCCTGTCCTCCTTCTGGATGAGTCAGGCCACACTCAGGATTGTTCAGGCTGCCACCACGCTACGCAGAAACTCATGGACACCCTGGAGTGTGACCTTCCGTCTGCATGAGGATGGCCTACATGCAAATATTGAGGGAGAGGTCTTTTCTCCTAGGAAGTAAAAGACTTTGGGGACACGATCACCATCTCCTGACTGTCGGAAAGGAGGAAATAATGATAACGGTTAGTGTGCACTAAGCACCTATTACAAGCCCACTGCATTAATTCATTGAAACGTCACAGCAACCTTCTGAAGGAGATATTATGGTTCTCTCTATTTTCAGAGGATAAAATTGAGACACAGAGAAATGAGGTAACTTGTTTGGTCCCACAGCTTATAAGTGGTCTGGCTATGATTTGAACTCAGTTTTATTCCAGAGCCTCTAGCACTTGGCTGGTTCACCCTGAGGGAAGTGGGGAACGAAGGTCACTGAGGCCTAGCTATTCTACCTGCCTTGTTCTAATACAACATTTTCATCTAGATATTATTGTGCACATTTTTTAAATGAGGAAACTAAATCTTGGAGAAGTGGCAACTGGCACAGGGTCATTTGAATATTAAGTGATTGAGTGGGTCTGATCTGACTACATTTTTCTATGCAGCCTAAGACCAGAATTAGAAGCAGTAAGTTCTATGGAGGAAGACTATAGCCCCAATGTACAGAGCACTTTGGAAGAGGCTGTCCTGAGACGAAGGGAGTTCCCCACTTCTACGAGCATGTAAGCAGAGGCTGGCTTCTCCCTGGTCATGGGGGAGGGCAGGCTGAGCTGGAAAACTTATCTGGGGGCCCTCTGGTTCTGCTTCTCGTGGACAAAATAAAAGAGGGTTCTGTAATAAAACTGACAAGTCCAATGATGAAAAGTAACCTCACAGGGTGATCTGATCATAAATTCCAAATTGGGCAGGTCATGTGGTTAGTCATGCCTAGACCTATAACTTTTATGGTAAAAGATTTTTTTTTTTAAGATTTTATTTATTTTATTTTTTTAGAGAGGGGTAGGGAGGGAGAAAGAGGAGAGAAACCTCAGTGTGTGGTTGTCTCTCACATGTCCCTGCTGGGGACTTGGCCCGTAACCTAGGCACGTGCCCTGACTAGGAATCGAATCAGCTACTCTTTGGTTCACAGGCCAGCGCTTAAGCTACTGAGCCACACCAGCCAGGATTTAGAGCAAAAGATTTTTTTTTTTTAAGGCAAAAGATATTTGCCTTAAGCAAACCCTGTCCACTGTTCTTGTGCATCTAGGTTAGCACACCTTTCAAATGCCAGAATAATCCTTTTTCAGACACCTCAGAGACATCCTCAAGAGAACAGGTAACCTTGTTAACTTTCCTGTGCCTTGTTTTCTCCCACCTTCATGTCATCTTCCTTACATTGCTCCCTAATTCCAAATTTATTTTTAAAATCTCAGAACGGTTATTTTCCAGAGCATCTGAGATCTTGCTTTTCAGCAATTGTCATCAGGTTGGCTCAAATAAATTTTATAACTCCTTACAAGTTTAGATGTTTCTTCTGTTGACACTCTTCTCTTCTCCTGGAGTCTCTGTCCCTACCAGCCTCTCCTGGTCTGTGTCTAACTCTTCTTCTTTCCTTTTTCACCATTTTTATTTTTAAGGGAACCCTGGAGGCAAATACTGGACTTTCCCACATTCAGAACCTCATGCCCGCCCCCACCCTAGGGGTACACTCCTCTGACCTTCTTCCACCTGGCTCCCTGGTGCTGGTTGGCTCAAGGCTGGCCTCACCCAGCAGGGAAATTCATTCAAACAGCAATTCTTGTGTACTTTTCCCTCTTGGGGTTTCCCCTTCCTCCTTCCTTTTTTTTTATTTCAGCAGGTAGCAAGCGGGCTTCAGGGGAGGTTCTGTGGCACTAGTACAGAGAGGTCTGATCAGATCACTGGGGAGAAGTAGGAAGGGACCCTAGGTGGAGGTTGCCCAAGGCAATGGTTAACAGCCGAGGATGGGATTGTCTGAGAAGCTGAAGGCCTCCAAAGCCAATCGAATTATGGGCGAGAAGATTTAGAATAAAAGAAGAGCTCTCAGCGGGAGTGGGCTCCCTCTGGCTCTCTGACGCCCTTCCTCCAGGATGCCTGAATGATCGTGCTGCAGCTGCCTGCATTTCCCAACAGACACTAATTTTGGATGGGAAGGAACTCCGGGCACAGCCTAGGATCTGGCTGGCCTGGCAGAGGGTGGCAGGATTTCTCTTTGGGTGTTCTAGATGGAACAGGCTCTGAGGCAGAGCCTGCCTTTCTTCCAAAATTGTATAGCTTTTATATCTTACGTTGTTTTAGTTTGTAAACTAATTCTGTAGAAATAAGATAATTAAAACTAACAGGGGGAAAGCTAGGAGAACTCAGGTGTTAAATAGTGTAGCCTTAATTGATAGGCCTAAGTGACTAATTCATGTGGAAAGCGGTTATTCCAAAATTGTGAAGCTTTTGAATAAAGACTCCTTTATCACCAACACTTTGCCTCTGGCATTTTGCCTAGAGAGTGGCAGCGGGCAGCAGGACCCCAACTGCTGTTCGGTAACAGCGGTGGAAAGCGTTCCTCAGCTGCCAGAACTTCCTTCTCTGCATTTGTTCCCAAAGCTTGAGTCCTTTGAAATAAGCTGGGTATGGGGGCGGGGGGGCGGAGAGGGAGACCTCTAAGAACGGGGGGTGCAGAGGGGTGGGGACTGAGTAGTCCGTGGGTTCCATGAGCAGCAGAGAGCCACGTAGCCTCTGAGACCGCCAAAGGAAGCAGTTCACCCTGGAGGGGCAGGCTACAGGCTGACCTAGGAAGGCTGGGATCCCTTGTCCTCAGCTACACAAAACTCCCATGCTCCCAGCATGCTGAGGGGGACCACATGGGCCAGGATGGATTTAGGCTGATGCCTTCTGGGGAGGGGCATGTCCTCCCTGGTACCTGGGCATCATGTAAGACCCCAGGACCTTTGCTTCACCATGGGGGAGGAGCCCTGAGTAAGGCCAAGGTTGAATTTCTTGCTGATCTGGCAGCATAGGTATTCACAGTGAAAGTGAAATGGATTTTCAGAGAAAATAAAGAACTGTTTATCTTACACACACGTGAGTCTGCGTTAAACCTTGTTCATTGTCCTTCCTCTGGTCTCTGAGATCTGCAAGCGCAGGGACCATGTTTACCTTGTTCTCTGCCAAAATTCTGGGGCCTAGTCCAGGTCCTGGGGCAACAAAAGCAGATACCTGATACTTATCTATGGAAAGGAGAAAGGCCAGAGCTGGCTCCAACAGGCGGTGGATGCAGCCGATGCCAGGCTCTTGGAAGAAAAACGAGAACATCAACAGGAGATACCATCATGCTGCAAGGAAGCTCTTAGACTGCTGCTAGTTCAGAGGCGGGTGGAGGGTCCACACTGAGCACCCCAGGGGCCTAGCAGATGGGGGAGCCCACGCGCGGCCACTGGCTCTGCATGCGTGCCTCTGCGCCATCCTCACTGGGACGTGCAAAGGAAGTGGACTTACACACTCCACACACAAGCACACAAGCTGAGAGGTTAGGTAACTTGTTCAACATCACACAACTAGAAAGTGGCAGAACTAAGACCTGAGCTCAAGCCTGCCTGAGTAAAAAACGGATGTTTTATCCGCTAAACCCTGTGAGTCAGCGGCCCTGCCGCAGGACTGGCAGAATTAGGAGGCCCTTTGTGGTACAATGTGAAGGGGCCTGAAATCCCACCATTCGGTGTTATTCCTCCTGGCGAGGTCCTGTGAGTCTATTACTTATTTATATCTAAGAGCTATGCTGTCTGAGCCAGCAGCCACCAGCCACACGTGGCCACTTAGCAATGGAAATACGGTTGGCTAGTTCCAATTGGGATGTGCCCTAAGTATAAAATACACATTGAATGTTACA